TATTTTGCAAACAGTTGCAAGGGGCTTCCAGGGTCTCTTTAGACTTTCAGAGTTTAAAAGAATTGTTTGGCACTTAGATTTTTTAAAACTCCCTCTACTCCTTTCATATAGGTGAAAGCAGCCTTCACAAGAACTTACAATAAGGAAGCCCACCTTACTCCATATTCACTTCAAGCTATAAAGGCATCTAGACATAGCACAAGCCCATCCCTGGATTCAGAATACAATGAAGAGCTAAATGAAGATGACTCTCAATCTGATGAGAAAGACCAAGATGCTATAGAGACTGATGCCATGATCAAGGTAGTATTTTAAGCCACAGACAGGAGGACCTCAAAGTAGATAGTCTTTCCTTGCCTGGTGAATAATAGGGGCTTTTCAGCACATAGAGTAAATTGAAAATAATGTTTTTTTGTTCACCATGGTTCAAGGTGGAGATGGTATAGATTTCATTTTTATAAACAGTTTCTTATAGTAGTCGAAGAGCCAAACAACAAAACAGGCCATGATACTGATGGCCATATGTTTCGTTAGAAAACGTACCATTTTTATTGATCTGGCCATTGGTGCATGGTTTCAAGAAAAAGGTTTTTAACAAAAGTTTCTTCTGCTGTTTATGTTTTGCGATAGCCACTAAACTGCTTTGTAGAAGTTTCTCAGAGCAAAACATTCCTGTCTTTTGCTAGGAAAGATGCAAATCAATTGTAGTATCAGCCTGCTGTTTATAGCTGGCTGAGCCAAGGAATCTCTTCCGATCCTCCTCTCTCCTTTGCTGACTGTGGGTGCTTCTTGCCCTTCATTTCTGTTTTCTATATGCAGGAAAAGGAATAGTGGGCTTCTCCACCGTGGCTCTCATTTAGACTCTCTGGTCCGTCTGTCTCTCTTCCCCTTTCACAAAATGACTGTGTTTACACCTCTAATCTGAAACCGAAAGAAGAGGAAATTCTTCATGTAAACTTTACCCTATTTGTAAATTTTCTCTTGCTTATTTTGTCTTAAGTATACCTCTGTTTCAAATCAAGAAGCTGCCTTACATGGGGAACGAATCTTAGTTCTAAATTCTAAATGCCCTCTCAGTTTTTACTGCCAGCTTTTAAAGGCTATAAGTAGTGCAGTTGTTGTTTGAAAGTAAGTGCATCACGGTAGCAGTCATTCAAGATCTCAATGTTTGCAGCCTCTCTTCTTTTTTAATTAAGTTGCAGGTAAAGATTAGATTTGTTGTAGAGATGAACTTATTTTGTTTACTCATAAACACAGCTATTAACTATTTTGTTATCTTCTCCCTCCCCCAACAGAAAAAGACAAAATCTTCAAAGCCTTCAAAACCAGAAAAAGATAAGGAGTCCAGAAAAGGAAAAGGAAAAAGTTCGAAGAAATGAAATCATTTTTCACTAACAACAGCCACTTTTTACTCTCCCTCCTGACCAGTCCAGCTGGTCTAGAGAAAGCCTTGTTTTTTCCCAGAGCAACCATGTTTTAGCATAATGGGATGATCTGGTGTCCCATTATCAATAAAGGGTGGTACAGCTAGAAGGGTATGAGCAGTAGGCTCATGTACACCTCTTATAGAGGTTGATAGGACTGCCTGGTCCTCCACTGTCCCCTGTCAATCTAGTTAGACATGCTTCTGAATGACTGTAGAATTGGAACTAGAAACTACACCTGGACTTTGGGGTCAGATTTTAGTTAATAATGAGCCTGGGAACAGTAATACTAAGGCATCTTTTGTAGGCTTAAGAATTTATCCTAATGGCCTTTATAGGACCAATGCTCATTTTTTTTTTTAAAGGTAGTTCCTATTATGTGGTGAAATTTTGTAAATAAATGATTATACAAAACAGTCACCACCTAGAACTGGGTATTCTTTGTGCATTATCAGATATCTTTCAAAGTATAAATCAGGAATAATAATGTTCCACATCATATATGTATAAATTCTTTTTAAGATTCCCATCTTGTATAGCAAAATATTCTGTTGGTATATTACTTATTAATTTGCAAATGATTGGATCAAAAAGCTCACTGTATTCCTTACTAACCTGTTGTGTGAAACATAACATTGGCAGTTGAGGAGTCAGAACTCAGATTCCCAGCTCACTCCCTCTGTGTGTGCTGACTACGTCTCTGCTGTGAATAGGATTTCACGGAGAGGTCTGTTATGGGGCTTTGCAGCGTGGGAGGCTGCAGAAGATTCTCAGACATTCTTATCCTGCTGGAGTCTCAACCCATCAGGTTCAAACCAGTAGGAACCAGGTTGGGTCAGGCTATTAAGTTCACTATGGTGGAGGACAAAATGAACACTGGTTTTTTGTTCACTTTGCCAATAGGAAATCTGGTCCTGTCCTGCAATGGCTTCCACGAACCCTGTTGGAAGTTGGGGTTATTCCTATAACTGTATGTGTTGAGTGGCGCTGAGGCTGTGCACCTGCCCTGGAATTTAGATGTCTAGCTGTTTTTTAATCTTGTCAGTAATTGCTCAGAGGTCTGTGCTGCCTCTGTGAGGTATATACTAAAATGAATGTAAAATAAGGATCATATTCCCTGCTTTTAAGGAGCTGGTAGTCTTGTTGGGGTGATGAGACAAAGTTCTTGAGACATTTAAACTGTATTTACCAGTGTGAAAAAATGTCCTTTAAGGAGATTAACTCATTATGGAAATAAAACATTGCCTTAAGCCCTTGCCTGCTGAGTCATAACCCTGTCTTTGTTAAATTCTGTCTTGAAACTCTTCTGCTTCAGGAAAGGTTTTCTCACCACTATGTTGAGGCTGGCTTTCCTATTCATGTTCTTCCATTTTTGTTCCTTTTGGATATGCAGGTCACTTCTCCCTAGTTCTTCTGTAGCCCCAGGAAGGGGACTTGAATCTCCATGCAGCAGAATGCTGCATAGTATCCTTCAATTGGTCATTGTGATTTTGTTTTTAAATGTTTTAAGCACAAGATTGGGATGATATGTGTGTAAAATAAATAGCATTTCTTTTAGAATTAAAAATTGTAAATATGCCCTTTATTATATGAGGATGGCAGCATAGGTCTGTTTGATTCCTCTTTGAAGCCCTCATGACCGTGAGGTGAATGACTGAGACTCATGGTAGGAGGGAGTTGGTGGTTCTGCAGCAGTTTGGATGTGAATCTCAATGGGGGTTGAGCCTTCATTGGAGCCACCAATGATGTGGCCTTTTGGAGCAACTTGATGCCACATGCCATCTCTGCAGCATAAAACTGTATACTTGCTCTTCCTGAGATCCGTCGAGTCTTGGCCATTTTGTTACTTACAAACCAGTCAGCTTTATCCTTCATCTTAAATGTTGGTAGTTCCATAGCACCATGATTTGATCTCTTTTTTTTTTTTTTTTTTTG